GTCCTCAGACCAGCCCCAGCATTCATCCCCAAAGTTAACTCCTGGTTCCATAGATAGGAAGATATGGTACTTCCCTCCTTTTCTTCAAACCCTGGCCATGAGATGGTGATAGTCTGGCATCATCTAGACGTGTGTAGGGCTTTGAGTTTTCTATATGGACAGGACCAGGGGGTTGAGAAAGACTGAATCCTTGTTTGGGTATGTTAGTCAGTTGTCCCTGGAAAAGAGTGTCTCCACTTCTGCCCTGAGCAGGTGGATAAGGATCAGTCAGGCATACAAAGTGTAGGGGTTAGTACCTCCAGTAGGGGTCACAGGGCACTCTATGGGGGGCATCGGCGTCATATAGGGCCTTACCGTCCCTAGAAGTCACTTGTAAGGTGGTGACATGGAAATTTGTCCATTCTTTTACAAAGTACTATAGGATTGACAAACTAGCCTCGGCAGAAGCAGCATTTGACAGTAGAGTGCTCCTTCAGGCCCTGTAGGCACCGGACGTTGTGTGACCCACCCGAGGAGAGCACTGCTTTTTTATGTCCCAGGAGTAAGGAGTCAAGGACTGCCCCACTCCTGGACCACCGGAGAATGGAAGATTTATATTCACTTACCGTGAAGCTTCCTTCTCAGTGGTCCAGAGTGGGGCAGTCCTACCCACCCTCTCTTGATGGACACGACTTCTGGTCCTTTAGGTTTTGCAGTGGTTCAGCTGTTCATGAATATGGTCTAACTGATTATGTGATGTGGTGGACTGTTGCTGTTTGTTTGCTCTAATGGTTAAAATACAGGTTTGTATTTGGTTAAGCCCATGGCTGTGATGGTATTCCCCAGTTGTCTGAGGGGGAAGGAGTTATTTTTTAAGTGAATTTACAGCAGCTCGGAGGTGGCTTTCGGTATGACTGGGGATCAGAGGATAAGCCCCTCCCCTCTGGGATCAAAGTTTGCCGGCCCTGCCTACGGAAGGGGGAGGTGCTTTCCCAGGAGTAAGGAGTCAAGGACTGCCCCACTCTGGACCACCGAGAAGGAAGCTTCACGGTAAGTGAATACAAATCTTCCATTCCAGGTCTCTTGCCTGTTACTTTAAAGATATTACTGCTGTTTCTAGTGAAACCATGTTTGTTCCTTGCATTGTACTTCCTGACAAGCATCTGTTGACAGCAGAGTGTCAGCAGATTGCATTTAGGCCTGACTAATCCACAAGTTTCAAGATTTGTCTTCCGGAGACGTTCTGACATCTGTCTTAACGTGTGTTGTGGGGGGAAAGGTAACTTGGGTTATCTTTGGTATAAGCGATTTTTTTAGGGATGTATGGTAATGCAGCCTTTATTTGGAAGCCAGCATACCTTCGGGACTGCCTGTCCCTATATGAGCCCCATAGAGCACTGAGATCTATAAATCAGCACCTTTTGGTACTCCCCGGCTCCAAGGACGTCCGACTTGCCTCGACTAAGGCCAGGGCCTTTTCAGCCCTGTCTCCTGCCTGATGGAATGAGCTCCCGTATGGGATCAGGGCCCTGTGAAACTTACTACAATTCCGTAGGGCCTGCAAAACAGAGCTCTTCCACCAGGCTTTTAGCTGAGGCAGTAGACGCCCCCCCCCCCCCCCCCCGGTTCTGGTTGGCCTCCCATCAGTGTCCTGGATTTGAACAGCCACCAGGGAACCCACACTACCATTCCACCTTAACTGCTAAGACATCAGGTCTTGCACGGTATTTTATGGCTTTTGAATTGGTTTTAGTTGTGAGTGTAAATTGTATTAATATTGATGGAACCTGCCCTGAGCCTGCTTGTGGGGAGGGTGGGATACAAGGCATTGCACTGGCTACCGATAGCATACCGAATTCGCTTCAAGGCGCTGGTTCTTACCTTTAAAGCCTTTTATGGTCAGGGACCTACATACCTGAGGGATCACTTTTCCCCACATGTTCCCTAGAGAGCATTGCGATCAGGGTCCCAACATCGACTGACCCTTCCCGGACCAAAGTATGCCAGGCTGGTTAGTACCAGGGCTAGGGCTTTCTCGGTGGTGGCTCCTCTCTGATGGAATGAGCTCCCGGAGGAGATCTTATGCAGTTCTGCAGGGCCTGCAAGACGGAGCTCTTCCGCCAGGCTTCCAATTAGGAGCCGCCCCGAGGGAGAACCATGCTCCCTAAACAGCCTGTGCCAGCCGCACGTGGTTAGATCTGGGTCAATCTCTAGGATGGGATAATGAAGCTCGACCGCCATCTTACATTTAACTTAAATTTAACTTAAATTGTCAATTTGTTAGCACCTTTTTACTGTTGAAATTGTTTTATGGGTTTAGAACTATTTAAATCACTTATTGTTGTTTTTATTCTCTCTGTAAGCCGCCCTGAGCCGGCTGTGGCTGGGTAGGGCGGGGTATAAATTTAATAATAAATAAAAATAAAAATTGAATTAAAAAAGTATCTGGAGGCAGTTTTCTCTTTGTGTAAATGGGAGAACGATGAAGGGAAATAAATTATGGTTGACTAAGAGAGCAGGGGAAATAGCTATTTGGCTATAACATTTGCCATCTGGGGATACTTTGTGCCGCTGGAGAAGTAAGAACTGGTTGTTGCTTTTATTCAATGTTGATGCTAATTCTTTTTGTTTGTTTGTTTGTTTGTTTCCTCTGTTCAGGACTCTGAAGGAGTTCCACCTTCTAAAAAGATGAAAGTAGAGGCTCCGTCTCAACAAAACATTGATGAAATATAGACTCTAGATTTTTTTCCCCCCTGGCCAGTTTTTACATAAGGTACATCAGTGGGCTAAATTATAGAACAACCATACTTTAAGTATCTTGTCTTGGAGGAAGACAGGACTCCTATAAACTTTTCAAGTTACCAAGCAAAAATCCAAGAAAACCAAGCAAAGGCTTCAGGCACTGAACTTTCTTTCCTGTGAAATGAAATGTTGAGAATTTTAATTTACTGTCTCTGAAATGGTTGGAGTGAACAACTCAGGAGGGGTCTACGCACTGTTTCTAACGTCAGAATTACAATTATGTTGCTGCTGTATTTTTTTTCCATTTTTCTATTTAACATTATAAGATATTTAAGGATGGTACAGGTCAGGTATTATCTATTCATGTGAAATTCATTGTTCTGGTTTTATGTCTGGTCTTTCTTTCTTTCTTGCTTTCTTTTTTTGTGCCTTGTGTTCCAAAATAAGCCAGTGCTCATTTTTAACATGTGGGTCCCCCCCCCCCCAATCTCTTGCAAAGTGGCCTATGTTTCTACAATGCCATATAGGAAGCTTTAGGTGTTTTTTCCCTTCATTTTTATACCCTGGTGCTTACTGTTCTAACATGGAGATATTGTAAAAGAAATCAGGAGGCCATTTTCACTCTTGCAGTTTAGAGACAAACCATGTGGTTCACCCAGCGAAGATTTTTTTTAAGTACAGCATTTGAGCCACTGTAAAACGTCTACAGTCCCTGCGTACATGTATGGGAACTGCGCATAAATACAGCTTGTAAAGGAGACATTCCTGGTGGGTTTCCATCGTATAACCATCTCTTGAAACAAATCGGTTTATTCAAATGAATGTGTTTTGCTGTTTACTTAAATTAGCACTGATTTGGGTAAGTATTGAAGCAAATTATGAATTTTAAGATCTAAATAAGCAGTTTCTGAACCTCTTAAAGATTCCTCTATAAATACAGGTTTGCACAATATACATAATCTGTAAACTGATTTCCCCCCCTCTTGAATTGTGTATCTTCTTGAAAAATATGGGTGACGACTGATTAAATGGCAATCAGTGTGGACAATTAACACCCATGTTTGATTCGACTTTTTTTACAAAAAAAAAATGTGTTGGCTGATCTATGAAATAGACAAATATATTTTTGAAATTTAAGAAAGAAAATTGTAATTATGTAGTTTTAATCGATCAGCACTGTCCATCACTCTGAAGCCACTGTTGATAAGTCGTCGCGCCCTGGTAGTTCCTGTCCGTAGATGCAGCTTTGTGGTTCTGTGTTTTTTTTGTGTTTTTTTACCAATTTCCAAGGAAGTAGACAAGTGTTTTGATTTAAAAGCTGAATCCTGTACTTAATAAATAAAAAAAAGAATATAAATAGCACTAAAATACCTCAAATTTTTCATTAGGTAGAAACATGTATTGGCATTTACTGACACTGACACAGTGCCGTTCACAAAGACCTGCTGCTGCTGCCGGCTCCCAACACTCTTCCAGGAGGGCTTCTTTCCTTATGTGTGGACGGAGCCCTACAGCTAAATGGAAGTTGCAGAGCAGTGGGTTTGAATGGGTGGCGCCATCTTCTTGCTATTCTGTGGCTCAACAAAAAAAACCCCTCCCACCTTAGCGGAATCACAACATTTAGTGGCTTCACTTTGTAAGTAGCAGCACTTAAATTTGCAGCTCACTCAGAGTTCTAGATATTGAGATCATCTCTCTACAACGGGCAGTTGAGAAAAGGCAGACAGAATTAGATTTCCTTCATTCCCCCTTGGTGTCAGCCTGTACCCTTTTGACACGAGGGGGAGAAAGAATCTGGACATTTACTTGGTATGCAGAAATTCAAAATTGTGTACAAGACTGTTATGAGTCTTTCTTTGAAGTGCCTGACAACACAGATAGGCCATTTGGATGTGCAGTTAGATTTAAAAAAAAAGAGGCTTGGAAGTGATCATAGAGGCGATCCAGCCAGCGAGGAAAGGATCCACAATACTTGAGGCTTGGTACTGGATCCAGCTTCTTGGTATGGGGCTATCTCTACTTAGAAAAAATTGGTTTTATGAACTTTTTTCGGGGGAGGGGGGTTACTGAAAGCAGTGGGGGGGGAGGGGTTGCCGAAATCTTGCGTTAAGGTGACTGGAAGTAGTTGTGCTGATAACGGATGTGGGTCACCAAATGGGACTGCTCCTCTAACGGGAGGCCACGGAGCAGCCGAGCTTGGCGCTTTGCCCTGCACCCCCGTGTTTTTAGAAATACTGCAAATATCAAGAAGTGCTTCCTTATCTACAAGCTGAGCATTCGGACCTCTCAAATACTAAAATGTTAGACATAATAAGCTAGCAAGGGAACAGACCTTTGTGGGGCGGGGGCCAAGGGGGTGGGGGCGAGGAGGAGGCCTTCCAGATGAGCAATTTGCTCAGCCAAACACTTAAAAGTAGAACTGTAAATTTAAGGTGTTTTTTCTCTCTCTTTTGCTTGGGGAAAGTAGTTATTAAACATTCCAAAAAGTGCTGGCACTTAACAAAACACCATCCACCGGTCCGTGAGGCAGCAGACAATTATTGGCTTTGAGTAGCTTCATAACAGAAATGTCGTCATATTTTGGAATGTTCTTTATATCGAAAGGCCTGCTAGAAGGTGTAAAGAATTTTGTGGGTTGTTTTTTTTTAAAAGTACCTAATCGTTTTCCATCTAAATGATTTTGTGTGTGTTGTACAGCAGTATAATTTTTTTCACTTATTTATTCCATCAGTAGCTATGGTTTGTACAATGTACAATGGTTTCATTTTAAAAAATTAAAAATCACAACACAAATAACTGTCTGAATCTTTTGGTTTTTTAATGAAATTTGTTCCAACGTCTGTGTGAATATTGTGGAAATGGAAGAATCTTATACACTATCTAGTTGAACGTAAGAGGAGCCCTGCTGGATCAGACCAGCGGTCCATCCAGTCCAGCATCCTGTCTCACACAGCGGCCAACCAGTTCCTCTGGAGATCCAGTAACAGGGCACAGACGCTGAAGCCACCGTGGCTAGCAGCCATGGGCAGTGTTCCCTCTAAGCTGAGTTAGTGTGAGCTAGCTCACAGTTTTTTAGCCTCTGGCTCACACTTTTTTGTCTTCGCCCAGGAAGGAGGGCTCCAGAGCAAACTAATTCACGCAGTAGCCAAATCGCTCGCTCACAACCTTAATGCCAGTAGCTCACAACGTAGAATTTTTGCTCACAAGACTCCATAGCTTAGAGGGAGCATGGGCCATGGGTAGGCCTATCTTCCATGAATCTGTCTAATGTCCTGCTAAAGCTGTCTGCATCTGTGGCCATCACTACATCCTCCGGCAGCGAATTCCACCTTTTAATCACTTGTTGTATAAAGTATTCCCTTCTGCCCTTCCTGAATCTACGGTCCATCAGCTTCATTGGATGCTCTTGAGTTCTAGTATTTTGGGTGAGAAAAAGTGCCTCCTAATTATGACAGAAAATGTGTGAAACTGTCATGTGAAACTGTCTGACCTTTCCTTGATAAGGAGAGCCCTCTCCACCCTGGGTCATATCATTGCTATCTCTCAAAGCTATCATTGAACATCTTCTACCTTGCTGGAATTTCCGAGATTACGATTCTAAGCACACACTCTGTGCAGAAAAAAATTCTGTTTAACGCAGTGGGAGTTATGTTGTCGAAGGCTTTTCATGGCCGGAGTTCATTAGTAGTTGTAGATTTTCCAGGCTGTACAATGCCAAGACCATGGCCATACAGCCCGGAAAATCTACAACTAATCGGTGGGAGTTGTCCATGTGTGTGTTTAGGATTGGGCTGTGCAAATTGACCTCTTTGGTTGGGAGTATATTTCTTCAACTCATATGGGCATCTATTATTTCCTTAACTATCAGTTTTTGGTCAGTAGTTATTACATGCCAACAGTTCATGAATGAATATGAAAAACCAAGCAAGCAGTCACTTAACCGGTGCAGATGTTTTGTGGTACATGAGAGAATTACTTTAGTCAAGGACTAAAGATCCCAGTTCATGTTGTAGAATCGGTCCTATAACACCCTCTCTTGGCAACAGAATACGAGAAGGAACGGGTGCGCTTTGCCTTTTGCAGCTGTGTTACAGAGACTGGGCTTTGTTTGCTGTGGGTCAAAGGAGATAATGTTATTTGTTATTTTTCTCACTGAGCTTCAAGGCAGATTACATAATGCAAGTCAGGACAACCAATAGGGTGAGGAGACATCTAATAAACAATGGCTCTTAGCCACCAAGTATAGATTGAACACTGTCTGGGGCAGTGATGCTCTGTGTTCTTTGTGCTTGGGGGGCAACAGTGGGAGGGCTTCTGGAGTTCTGGCCTTGCTGGTAGATCTTCTGATGGCACCTGGTTTTTGGCCACTTGTGTGACACAGAGTATTGGACTGGAAGAGCCCTGCTGGATCAGACCAATGGTCAAACTAGTCCAGCGTTCCGTCTCACACAGTGGCCAACCAGCTCCTCTGGAGGGCCAACAACAGGGCAGAGGCAGAGGCCTTCCCCTGATAAGTACATAAGAAGAGCCCTGCTGGATCAGACCAGTGCTCCATCTAGTCTGGCATCCTGTCTCACACAGTGGCCAACCAGCTCCTCTGGAGGGCCAACAACAGGGCAGAGAGGTTGAGGCCTTCATAGGCTTGCCAAGTCCCCCTGGGGGGCGGGGAAACCCCCGCCCCAGAGACCCGTTCCCCGCCGCCAGCGGATCGTGTCCTGGGGGGAATCCCAGCCCCAAAGCACAGGATGTGCCTGGCATCAGCACGGCACCCGGAAGTGATGCAGCCGCACCAGGGGTGGGACCATGGTCAATTTCCCCTTGGATGACCGCGGCCCTGCCCCCTGTGTGCCCAGCGCAGCTGCATCACTTCCGGGTGATGTGCTTGCGGCACGCGCGTGCTCTTCCGGAGCGAGCTGGGACTCCCCCGCTGTGGCTTAAGGTACGACTTGGCAACCCTAGGCCTTCACCTGATGTTGCTTCCTGGCTCTGGGATTCAGATGATGTGGAAGACCTCTACCTGAGACCCTGGAGAGCTGTTGCCTGTCTGAGTAGACAAAACTGACCTTGACTGCCAGTGGTCTGATTCAGTGTAATGCAGCTTCATGTGTCCAAGGCCTAAGTATTAAACTGGACCAACAGTGCAAGAAATGGAAT